TCCAAGTCAGCACCACACTGCTGAGATCTCAAGTTCCCCTGGCCTGTTAAAATGCTCACCTTGGACGTTCGTTTGACTGGGTGGCCCTGAATTTTTCTTCTCTCCTACCTCCTCAGCCCTTTTCTTTCTCCCTGGCCTGATAAGGTAGCTCCTTATTCATTCTGACATTATAATGCCACGAGGGTGGTGATGGAGCTTGAAGGAACTAACACTCTAATTGAGTCTAAGAAAAACTGGCATTATTTTCACAGGAACCAGACATGATATGCAAAATTTTGCGGTCTTCTAGCAAGGTTAATTCTTTCTTAACTGCAAGTTCTCAGCTCAGATCTCCCCTCCCAAGTGCCAACCTCACCACTCCAGCTCGGATCCCACATCCTGAGATACGTTGTTTAACAGCCTTCCTGGCTCTGCCCAGTCACTGTCTCGGACAAACACGCCCCTTTTATTTCCCTTCACTTATCACCGCCTGACATTATGGATGCCTTTATCTGCATATTTTCCGTCTTACTCCCCTTCACAGGCAAAGAACCTTCTGTCTGGCTCGCTGCTCTAGCCTTAGAATTTAGTGTAAGGTCGTACCCTTACATGGCCCAACAGTTATTTACTGAATAAGCAAATCGATGACTAGATATTCATAGATATAATTTCTAAAGTAGTAATTTCCTTTTATAGCCATAACTCATTTTCTACATGACTCTGTTCACTGTCTCACGGCCCCAGCATCAGCTTTACCTAACGTGAATGTCACTCCCTCTTCTATAGCCTCAGCTAGTTGATCAGAGAAATTCAAGTATCTAGTTGGTTTTGAGAACTGAGAAACTGGGAGTTTGCCTCTGGATGTCCTTGATCTTCAGGTCCTCAGAGGGGTCTCAGAGGAAATGAAGCCTTGCTCTGTTCCACCTAGAGCTGACTTGGTGAACGCCCAGATTGACAAATCTTCACTCTACAAAAGTGCTCCTGGATTACAACTCCCAAGGTCTCTGGGTGTTTGAATAGAGGCCAGTAACTAATTGACAGAGAGGCTGTTGTGGAGTGGAGGGTGGGGTGGGGAGAGACATGCTAAAATTAAATGACAAGAGATCCTGCCAACCGGAGTGGATTCAGGAATGATAAACCATCTTGGGGATCGACCAAAAAAAGAGAATCAAATAATAAGCACTCAAATTTATCAAAACACTATTGATGTGCTGGGACATGTCTTGTTTTTGTTATTTTAAAATTAATTTTCTATCAGGTTCATTGCATAAACCATTTTACCAGCAAGCCTTCTGGCAACCTATCTGTCAAAAAATTACTCACTGTGCAAAGAATTCTATCTATCTATCCATCCATCCATCCATCCATCAATCACCTGGCCACCCATCATGCATCTACCTATGTATCTAAGAACATCTGTGGACACCTGTGTAAACCATTCTTCATCTGTCCATCTGTCTGCCTGTCTTTCCAGCTATCTATTTATGGCCCTTGGTTTGCATATATCAAGCCCAAAGCTCCAGTTTTGCCTGAGCATTAGCCAACCTTTCTATTAGTCAAAGCAACATTATTTTCTGGCAAAGTAGGAGAACAGTTGAGCTGACAGACTCTGATGTCATACAACCCGGAGTCTAACACTCACCAGTGCTATGCGCTTCCTGTGTAACACTGGACAAGTTACTTAGCCTCTCTGACCCTTATCTTCGTCATCTGATACCTGGGTCTCATAAGAACACCGCTGTGAGACGGCATTTGAGGATTCCATGGAAGAACCCAGTTCTTGACAAATGGTAAATGTTACGAGAGTGATCGTGACAATGCCACCAAGCCACTAACCAGATCCTAACTTCAAACTCCTTTCAGATCTTTCGTTTTTTCCTCCAAATTTCCATTTCTAGATCACCTGGTTCCCGGGTAACCACTATCTGAAAACCAGGGATGAGTTCACCACTGCAAGTGAGGGCTTCCTCGGTACATCCCCGGGGACAGCCCACTGAGGGGAAAGCTGACACCAGGGATTTAAACCTTACTCGGCTTCCTCATTCTATTAATCTGGCTGTTAAGCAGAGAGGCCTGCTGATGCCAACAGATGCAGAGCTCTGCTGTGCTAACGGCAAAAGCATTAGGGAAGGCCTCAGCAGCCAATCAGTCCATCTCCCCCAACTCAGAACAGCTGCACAGGGGCAGACTAAGCAAGCCATGGGTGAGGACGGCTGCAATTCATTCTAGAGACAGGGGGAAGGGTGCGTGAAGGAAAGGGCCCCTGGATGGCCCAACATTCCTGTGCAGGCGGGGCCCAGGCAAGCCCAGTTGCTATGCACAGTGCAAGGAGATGGCTGGCAGTGACACCCTGCAGGCTGGAGGACGGAGCAGGTCATGAGGAGGAAGGAGCACTGACCTAGGGCTTCGAACACATCTGCCACCTTGGTTCTTCCAAGTTTGGCCACGTCTGCCATCTCGCTCGTGGCATATGAGTAACATTTGGGGCACTGCTTTCCTTTCTGCCAGAAAACCCTTCCCTGCCCCTCTGGTCTGCCTTGCCTGCAGGCAGCTGAATAGGATCCCACTGTTCACCCCATGAGGGGCTGAGGCCAAGCACAAAGTCCAATCTGGCCATAGGCTTGTGCCAACAGTCACAAAAAAGCATTTGCACTTTGGTTGGGTTCCAACGTCTCTTTAGCACAGGAAATCAGAACTCGGGGAAAGACAACAATATCCTACGGCTCCCCAAAGAATGAGAACCAGATGAGACTGATGGAGCATTGTTTGCAGACAAATTGAGTCATTCCCCCAGTGGCATGGCACACATGCAGAAAGTCCGCCTCATGCCACTGCTGGCTGGAGACTGAGGCTCGGGACTGTGGGGCAAATGGGTGTGACCTGAACAGTGGTAGGGGGAAGCTGTTGCCCTCACACGCTGGCCAGAGCCATTGGCATATGACTGCTATTTCCCAGGGAGCTTTTGAAGGGCTGATTGGGGGGTGTCCTGAGTAAGGGATATAGGACAGTCAAGGACAGAACTATCCAGGGTACAGCTGCTCCACCCCCAAGAGACGAAATTTGGCTTCTGGAGTTCTGGACACGGACTATCTGCTCATGGGTTTTCTTAAGGCTAGTAATTTTTCCTTCTGGGGAAGGATGGGTAAGAACAGAAGGGCCATCATTTTAAAACACAACCTGGAAGTTTTCTCATCATCTGTCAGGCTAGTGGAGACATATTTCCCAAAGTGTGATACACACACCTCAGAGTACAGTTATTATATACATGATTTAGAGGGTACCCAAAGGAAAGTTTAATTTTATCTTCATAGTGGAATACTGATTTTAATGGTGCAGAACAATAGAACTCATATGTCAAACCTGTGATTTCACCAATATTATTGCTTCAAACAGCCTTTCTCAACCCCAACCCATGAGCACTTGGGGCTAGATAATCCTTTCCAGTGGGGAGCTGGCCCCCATGGCATTGTAGAACATTTAACAGCATTCCTGCTCTCAACTCTCTAGATGTCAAGAGCAAACACTCCCCCGCCCCCCGGCCCCAAATAGGTGAGCTAACCAAAAAACATCTTCAGATGTTGCCAAATACCCCCTAGGAGTGAAAATCACTCCCTGGTTGAGAACCATGGATCAGAATCATCTACTTCTGAAAGTAAAGTGAATTAAGTGAAGGCAAAATGTATTTTTAGGTGACTTATGTGAGCAGGTGAAATTCACACATGGCAAATATGGCCAAGGTCGCCTGGGAATGACAAGTACAGGCAAAACCAGAGCAAAGTGTGGCCCAATCAGCAGAGGAAACTGGATCCCTTCAGCCACACCCTCTTATATTCCTTTCGGCCAGCCCAGTTACCTGGTGATCCCTGGAAGCCCGTATTGCTGTGTGTGGGGGCCAGGACAGGGAGGCACAAAGATATTCAGGCACCCACTTTCCCTATTATCTCCAGCCTTCTTGATCAAGAAAGGAAAAGCAGGGTAGGTCTGTTACTGTCCTCATTCCCCTTGGGAAGATGCAGGCAGGGACTGCAGGAGAGGACCAGCACCTGAGGAAAGTGAAAGGTGAGGGGAGCAGGTGCCTTGGTCAACACACTCCAGAAGCCCCTGAAGGCCCAGAGCTCGCATGCCTTGATTAAATGTTCACACGGATTTGACTATGTCTGACACCTAGAAACTCTCTGCTGTGGGATCTGAATGGGGCCTAGGCTGTCTTTCGTCTTTCTTTACTGTGTGGCCAACGCAGAGAGCTAAAGTAATGGTCAATCCAAAGACACATCCCCTGCAGATCCAGGGGGAAAGGGGACACTCACAAGCACTTAGTATCTACTGCTGATTTTACAGACCTCATCTCCTGTCATTCTCTACCCCAACCCTGCAAGGTGGGCCCTATCACTCTGCTGATATCTCAGGGGGAAAAATTCTGGCTTAGAGAAGTGTCCTCATCAATGTCACCGGGCTATAAGACATAGAGCTGAAATGCTGTGTGTCTGTTGGACTCCAAGGCCCACATTTATAGCTCCCATGCTGCCCCATGTCCCAGGAAAGCAGAAAGTGAACAAACAGTAAGGTCCACTGGTCATCCTTCTCCCTATACGGAAATGCCACTGTGGTAGCTGGGTGCCACTGCCCCAACCGCCAAGCAGAAAAAGTCACCCAAGTCCAAAGAACGGAAACAGCAACATCTTTCCACTCGGTGGCTCCCCTCCGTCTCCCGTCCCCCTTGCATTCACCTCCTCATGACTGCTGGGCAGGAGCAAAGGACAGAAGAAAACTCAAAAGATGCCACAGGTGCATTTAGACAGCTGAGTGCAAATGCGCACGCACGTATGGGGTCACACACGTGTACATAAACACTTTTATGCACGCACACCTCCAAATGGGGCAGGAGGGCAGCCATAGGTGACTGTCCAGGCCTTCTGACCCGTGGAGCCAAGAGGATGCACGAATAGCCCCTCAAGAGAGAGCTGGTCCAGGAACATGAAGGCAGGGAGAAACATGTGACAGAATCTTGCCCCGGTACTCACCTGGGCCTCCAGGGTGATCAGTGGACTCGGGGGGTGTGGATCCTATGTGGAGAGAAGAAAAAACACACATGAGGAGTGGGGGAAAGTTAACTTGCTACCCTGGCTTGACCTCCTCAGTAGGCAAGCAACCCTTGGGGAGGACAACCCCTGCGCGCCCATTCTACAGAACAGCTTGGCCCCATCTGCACCCCCCAGCACATCCTCCCACACCCGAGGGAGGAAGGAGGCTTGAGTTTTTCATTAAGGGGACGCCCGCCTGGAAATCATGCAAAACAATGAAGTGCAAAGAATAAAAGAAACAAAGCGCCCTCGCCAAGGATCTCCACGTGTGTCCAAATCCTCTATAGGAAGGAGAAGTCGGGTCCCTAAGAGGATTAGAAAGAAACCTGAAAGAATATAAAGGCCTGATTAGGGGCAAGGCCATCAGTTTGTGTCTGATCTCGGAAAGAATGAGGGAAGGAATGAGACAGGAGCTTAATTCCTGGTATGAGGGGCACATTCCAATGGGCTGGGGAAGATCCTTTCTAGGCTAGAGGAGGCCAGAGAAACGTCCTATTCATTCACTCTCTACAAAAGCCAATTGACTGGGAATGCTTGGTGCTACTGTCTCGGCTCATTAAGCATGAACTCTTCGCGTTGGAGTAGAGACAGGGTGGGTAGAGAAGGAGGAAGGGGCTGATGGGAGGAGGCGGTGGTGTTCAGTGAGTGGTTTCCAAAGAAAACAGGAAACCCAGCACAGAAAGGCTATTTTCGTCTACATCGCGTCTGCTGTGAACTTAACCATCTTGGATTCCCAATTCTGGGGAAAACAAGCTTCAGTTGCCACTTACAGAGAATGGGCATGATTTTAGCCGCCCTGCAGTACAACCGCACTTTGAAGCTTTGTTTAATTTTAGCAGATTTTCCAACACAGGCTTCTAGGAAGCAATGCAAATTAGCACCAGCCCACTGGTCTAAACTGAAAGGAAGTGTAGGGAGATGGGAAAATTCTAAACCCCTACGCTAGGTGAGCTGCCACTCACTTTCTCAATCATCGTTTTATGATATCTTTATAATGATGCCTAATTCTGCAGAGAAGAAGAGGCACAATCTCAGAAATAGGCAGAGCTCTGGTCAATTCTGCCCTTTCTTTGAAGACGAGGCATTCATCGTCCCCCAAGTCCAGTTTGGAGTCCAATTCCCAGCGCTCCTCCATCGGGATAGTTCAAAGGAAGGTGCCAAGAGAACATCTCACTCTTATTTTCACATTCCCCCAGGCAATGAATATCGCTCATGCCCCAGAAAAATACTGAGGGAAATATTTTCTCTCCCTCTTCCCACAGTGCAGCCTTGGTCCATAAAGAGCTCAAAGAAGTTGTGAAAGAAATATTTCAGGTCTCTCTGCTCAATCTCTCACTAGCCCCTTCCCAAGGGTGAAGAAATGGCAGGGATGACTGGTGAGAACCCAGCATGCATCAAGCCACTTTCTCTGAGCTGACAGGCTGCTGTACAGTTGCAATACAAGAAGAGTCAGCCCTATAGTTCCTGGCGTGTGGCTGGAGGTGTGCATCAGACCTGGTACACGCTGCTGAACGAGTGAGAGTGTGCAGTGTCCGTTGTTCAGGTCAGCACGGTCTGTGTCTGTCTGTCTCTCTGATGATGACAAGGATTGGATGAGGTGGCTCACTGCTGTAATCCTAGCACCCTGGAAGGCTGAGGCAAGAGGATTAGGAGTTCAAGACCATCCTGAGCAAGAGCGAGACCTTGTCTCTACCAAAAATAGAAACATTAGCTGAGCCTGGTGTGCACCTGTAGTCCCAGCTACTCGGGAAGCTGAAGCAAGAGGATCACTTAAGCCCAGGAGTTTGAGGTTGCAGTGAGCTATGATGATGCCGCTGCCCTCTAGCCTGGGTGACAGAGCAAGACTCCATCTCAAACAAACAAACAACAAGAACAAACCCGGAAGATAAGAAGCTGCATCTTAGCCTCAACATTTGCCTAAGTCTTAAAGCCAAGTTCTAGCAGAGCACCGCGCTGGGCTGTTGAGTGCATGCCCAGATTAATTAAGCTGTACTTCACAGCCCATTTGGCTACTGTCTGGGACTTATGCTTCATTGCTCAGAGTCTCGAGAGGGTGAAGAGGGGAGAATGCCATCCTGAGCCCCTAAAAACGACTTCACTGGAAAAGATCTTCCTTGGGAAGCCACAGGAAATCCCCACCAACTGTATCAATAAAACCAAGAGCCAGATCCCTCGATGCAGTGAAGCTCCAACCCTTTATGTGGTGTTCCAAGATCAGAGAACACCCCCCTCCCCCGTGCATGGTCAGGGGTTCAAGATTTATTAAAAAGCTTCATGGAAAATAAAAGCACAAAAGCTATCTATATAGCATCTTAATTAACTAGCCAGAAAGAAGATAAAGTATTCACATCCTGAACACTTAGGGTTCACTTGGCAACAAAATTTTGTTCTCCCTCCCCTGCACACATTGGAAATGGAAGACTTTCCCTAAAGAGGCTCAGTCCAGAGGATTCAAGGTGTGACTGTGTATCTGTGAGGTCTCACTTTCAGCAACATCCGCCTTAATTGGAAAGGCTAACGAAGTGGAACCGGGTCAATGATGCTGTCTGCCTAATCCATCCTGTCTGTCTAAATTGCGACTCTTTGGTGTACAGTAGAGTAAATTCCTGTCCATCAGAGGAAAGCTCCTAGAGACCAAAGGGGGATTTGCAACATGCTCACATACCGTGCAATGCTTGTAGAATCTTAATGCCCGTACCAGGAACCACCAGATTGCCTACAGCAAGGAAAGCCCGTTCATATCGCCTATTGCAATGACTAACTTGGGGAAGTCAAATGAGGAAGTAGGTGGACTGAACTGGTGGCCTCAGTTCTTCTCAGCTCCCCCTAATTGTGTGATCTTGCAGCTCTGTGCACTTTGCTACTCCGGCTGTCAAAGCCCAGGCTAGGGGATTTGACTTGCTCAGTCTAATGGGGGGTCAGAAGATGTGACGGAAAGAGAAACTCGAAACAGGCCTGGGTGATTGAACATGACCTCTTACACTTCTGCCATCTCCACAAGAACATGCATGTCCCTGGTGGCCTGCTAGTCCATAAAAGGACAGCAGACACATAAAACAGACTCAGCCCCAACCTGCAGCCTGAAGCCAAGCCCAGCCTAGATCAGCCAACTCCCTGCCAACCTCCAGCATAGAGAAAACATATGCTTGTTGTTTCAAGCTGTTGAGTTCTGGAGTCATTTGATATATTTGCTTTATTACAGCAATAACCAGTATACATTCTAAACAGTGACCTTGAAAGACCAGAAAGTGTCACAAAAACACACAGTCTTAGAAAACACACAAACAATACATACTCTCTTTCCCTAAGTTTGCAAATACATTCCAGGAACCTGAAATAACTGCAACCAAAATCTATCAATCACAAAGGGCTTGCTATGTGTCAGGCCCTGTGCTAGTGCACTATTACATCAAGCAAGAAAATACTTGACCATCATCAAGATCTTGCACTACCCCTGAGTTAGTCTGCAGCCCCCGCCAAAGGCCCCAGCCCTTTTGAATTTATTATTTAGATGCCATCACAACATTAAAGGAAATGATCAGTCTGAATCCTTTTACCCTGAAATACGGACAGTTTCCCTTGCTCTGGTTCATTGTCAGCGTTATCCTATGAGCATATTACTTGACCAAGATTTAGAACAGTACTAATAACAGACATTTGTTAAGTTTTTAGTATGTTCCCGGCACTGGGCTTAACTTCTATATTATCTTACTTACCCCTGTAATAATAACCCTGAGAGGTAAATGCTCTCTTAAGTGTATATTACCATTATAGGGATGGAAAAACTGATCCCCACAGAGATCGAGTAACATGTCCAAGGTCACCCAGATGGTATTAAAAGCCCGGATTCCCTCCAGCACCTTAAACTTGAGAAACATACATTCCACAGATGTTAGGAGCCCTGATGGAGGACACAGTGTCCCACCTTAGATGAAGTAATGCTGCAATTTGGATAATGTCTACCAAAGAGAACAGTACCCCCTTAATAAACACTGTAATCCTTTCTCAGCATCTGCCTTTTTTTGTTTTTTTTTAAAAAGGTAGTGGACATGCTTGATAGAAATTAGCACATGTGTCATGACTAATAACAAAACGCACTCACTTGGCCATAGCAGGGAACTGTGTAGAGTTAGCTAAATCCATCCACACGCGTTTACTAAGATCCGAGTCAGGAGCTAGCACTGTGGCTGGAGGGCACCAGGAGGGAAACAGAAATGAGTTTGAAGAGACTCTGTGTACACTGCTATTCCCAAAGCTAACTATTTAAATAAGAGGCAGAAGCCTGATTACAGGTCTTAGAGAAATGAAACTTGTCTTGCACCTCACAAGTCTTGCTTGTAAGTCCAGGAAGCCAGGCTCAAGGCCAAAGGCCTAATTTTAACAAGCAATTAAGCTTCAATAAAGAAAGCAGAGAGAGGAGGAGGAGGAATTTGTTCATTATCATTCCATGCACGTGTCAAACACGTCTGGAAGCCCTGAGCTGAGCCTCCGCCACTGGAAGGGGCATTCTCGTCCATGTGTGGAGGATTTTTTGTGAGAGAGTCCCTGCACTGGTGGAGAGATCATTCTGTGACTCGTATCTTCAGAGCCAGATTTCTCCATGAGGCCCATCAAATCAACCAGATAGACAGTGGGCCCCCATAAGACACCCTCTGCCGCAGACATTCACAGGGAACACTGGTGAGGCTGGCTTGGCACTCTCTCCCTGGGAGCCTCTGATGGGCCAGAACTTCCACCATCGATCACTCTCAGTCACCATCAAATCCCTATACACTTTAGGAAATACAAGGTGTTTCATGGGATCACAGACCAAAAGCAACAAGAACTCAACATCCCGGAGTGGGAGATCCCACTCAGAGATCCCGGAGTGGAAGCTACGTTTGGACGCCAGGCCAGAGACCTCCATGGACACTGTCACTTGTACTATGAGTCAGGTGCGGGGCAAAGAAGGTTCATTTAGTGGAAGAGTGCAGGTCTGGGGT